CCTATAGATTGCCTAATTTTGGAGATATTTGCCATAGTTGGCATGCATGGGAAGTTTATTACTTTAAGTTTTATTATTTTAGTCGTTATAAGAAGATGTGGGTTTAATGGATATTCTTACAGCGCCACTACATCAGCTTTCGAAAATAAAAATATCGTACAGATGGCGGGATGGAGTAAACAGCTTTTCCTGGTGCTAGACATTAGGTACTAACCTCATTTTTGAAATGTACATTTTAGAGCCCGCTACAGAATCTGATTAGAAAATTTGTACGTGGCTGCCTTGCTGCAGCTATGTTAATTGTATAGTTGTAGCACAAATGGGTCGGCTCGACCGGGGAAGGACCACGCTCTCACGGAATACCAGCGTAAATAGCAGCATAATGCTACTGTGTTTCATATGGAGAGTGTAGGAAACAGAGACCCTATTTACTGGAAACGAGGCATTCCATCTTAGTCCTCACGGCTGAAAACGCATCTACATTTTGATTCGTAAACGAGGATAGATGTAGATGTCTATGGGCCACAGCAACCACTTACGATCAGATGGACTGTGTGCTCGCTAGTCACCCTTCTCATATAAAAACAATCTAAGCTTCACTTCACAACTGTAACTAACTTACACTACACTACACTACATATTTGACATTTTACGTACATACAAAAAAGAACATACAGTCGACTTGTAAATCTCCTCCTTTTTTAAAAGTTATTTAAAAATAAAGATGAATCAGTTCAAGCAAATGTAAGATTTATCTAATCGCTGTTCACTCCGAAGCTCCCCAAATTATCTTCTAGATAGAAGTTTCCGTTCCCACATTAAATATCGTCGTGTTATGATAATGAGACTTTCGAACATGTAAGTGAACTCATAGACGTAAGCTAGTTGAGATTAAGTTAATCGGAACTAGGTTTGGAGGTGGTCCTTACGACAACTATTTCAAAATAACAAAACATATACATTTATTTTAAAACACATTTTGTATCCGATATAATGTACTCGTTACATTACACATAAAATGTGGTTAAAGTCGCAGTGTAGTGGCGGAAATAGAGAATCGACTACCTTATATTATGGATGTTGTGATAAGCGGCACAGGAAAATGACACCTACCAGCACCTAATAACACCTGTAGTGTTAAGAGATGACAGAAACAGTATCGGAACGGAATCTTCGGCGTCGAAATATCGAATGACATGCAGTTTCATGGTCACTTGGAAGAGAAGACTAAATTGGCCTCTAAAAATCTTGGCACGTTTAGCAGAGCGGGACAGTATTTCATGCTGGCACACAGCCTGCGACTTTACAAGGCGCAGATTCGGCATCACTTGGAATATTGTTGCCATCTCTGGGCCGGGTTTCCCCAGAGGCAGCTCCTTCCATTTGATCTCATCCAGCGCAGAGCGGTTTAAATCTTCGGTGACCGAGCTCTTTCAGGCTGGCTTGACTCGCTGTCACTGCGAAGAGATGTTGCATTTCTTTGCGTATTCTATCGCATCTACCACAGGAAGTGCTCTGAAAAATTGTTCCGATTAGCTATATACCGCTAACCGTTTCATTCGATGATGATGATGTCGAACGTGTTACTATGCAGTAAGCCCAGTTGAACGCTCTCCATTCTGACTTAAGCGGAGGAGCAAAGTGTTTAGCTTGTATGTACATATTACATACACAAACTGTTGTGTTACATTAAGGTAAAAAATTATGATTTTGTTTTCACTGTCGTTAGTCGATAGTTGCGAATTGCGATAGGTGGTACAGCATCTGATGGTACGAATTTTTTAAACTATGATCAGTACCCGGCATAAATCAGATCGAATAGCTAAGCTTCATCTTTCAAATTTATAAAAATTTGAAAGACTGATTTATATACCATCTTAGCTCTTGAGCCGTGGCAGCTCAGGGGCTTGCTGTATTTAATTTCACAGTACGCGAGCAATCCGAGTTCAATCCGAGTTCAATCCCCGCCGGCACTAATGAAATTAGTTGCAATGAATGTTAGTTGCAATTTTAAGTGCCGATTTACCACGTGCTCGGCGGTGAAGGAAAACATCGTGCGGAAACTGGCTAGTCGGAGAAATAAAAAAATATATTTATTTAGCAAATTTAACTAACTAACTTCAGCTCTTTATCGAAATAGCTCACATTCAGGTAGACATATCATGATAACTATCGTGAAAATTATAAAACATATTATAAAAATTATCGTTACGTATACAATCATTGGTGCGTTTGTTAGTGATCGTGTAACCTCTAAAGCACTTGACCGATTGAGATCAGATGAAAGTTTAAGAACCTTATCATGACAAGTGAATTATTTGTTCATCATACAGGAAAATCCTATTGTGGTGTTACGTTTTATTTAAAAAAAAAGTATTCCATCAATAACGGATAAGATATTAATTTCTTATATTTTCGCGAATACTACACATATAAGAAATACTAAAATTTACGGATTTGATCGCATATATTAACTTTTTTATATACCCAATGTTTCGAGCACTTTACAACACCCATGGTCACGGAGGGGACAGAGATGTTCAACGTCCAGATGTCATAGTAAATCGGTCGGGTATATAAAAAAGTTAATATACGCGACAAAAGCCGTAAAAAATAGTATTATTTAAATGGATAACATATTAATTAAAGAAGAATGAAAAAATGTACCGTAAAAGTTCCGTCTTAGCTCGTAAAGGTCTCTGAAGAACTTTAGACTATAATTGAGTTTGTTTCAGTATAAATGTACTTGATTGTAGAAATAAAATGGCAAGCGAGCACACAGTCGACTTGATAGTAAGTGGACGCTGTTACCCAGATCCATCTACATCTATCCTGGATTAAAAATCAAAATGCAGATACGTTGTCACCTCGGAGGACTAAGATGAAATGCCGTTAAAAATGGTCTCCGGTCTATTCTCACCATACGAAACACAGTATTATTCTACTGTTTCACGCTTTCATACCGTGTTAACGTGGTCGTACCTCAGTTCAGCCTTCCCATTCATGCTGTAGCCATAGTATAACTGCAGCATGACTCTACAACGTAAAAAAATAATTGATCGATTGGTTGGCGGCAGAAATAAACAAGATAGTGCTGACTAAAATATATAATGACATCTAGACAAATATTCAAATAATGATTTTTTGTATTTACGCGAATACTGCACGTTTAATAAAATTAATTTTACGGATTTCATCGCGTTTAATTTACTGATTTTTAATTCCCGACGTTTCGTTGAATTTTTTACGTACAACTGCTAATGTAAGCTCATTCTGCGTAGATTGGATCAGTAACAAATATTCAAAACTTGAATGTAGCCGGGCTAACTATGATATCGGAACGTCAAACATTTTAGTCCCCACTAACCCTGGGTGCTGTAAAGCACCCGAAGGGACTCAAATTTAAAATAAGTAAATTAAACGCAATTAAATCCGTAAAAATAATTTTATTCAACAAATATCCAAAGAAAACATAAAATTGTTTTGTTCGTTTTTTTAGTGACAATTTTTTTCAAAACCGGATGAAACAGATAATTACGTTCCTTGATTGCTGCTTAATTACATTCTTTGTTTTATAGCAGAAATAAAATTAACGATCACTTTTACAAGCAAACCATGATCAATTATGAAAACAGCACTTCAATTAATCTCAGTAACGGTATATATTCGCTTATTTAATATTATTTAAATTAATAAATTTTAAATGTCAGTAATAGCGCTTTGTACAGTTATTGACATAAATGTAAAACATTAACGTCTGTAGTAGAAAGGGTCTCTGAATCTCTACATTTACCATATGAAACATAATAACATACGGCTACTATTTTACGCTGGTATTCTTTTAGAGCGTGGTCCTTTTCTGGACAAGCCGACCCATTCGTACTTCAACCATAATGTAACTGCAGCATGACTCAATCACGTATAAGAAATATAATTTTAACATTAAAGAAAAATATTTTTTAGACAGAAATAGTTTAAAAAGATACAAAAACAACACCCCACTCAACAACGACTAAAGGGAAAAAAAAAAAAATAAAAATAAAAAACACAACAACCAAAAAAAAACAAAAAGACACCCACTGATTAATATAATTTCTATATTATCGTTCTATATTTGAAAGTACATTTGTCTATTTTTCTCAGAAGTATGCTTATACTGAGGATTTGAGTCGATTATAAATATCGTGAAATAATTCATAAAACTCTTTAAAAATGTTTACTACTAAAGTTTAATTTACGCCCATTCTTACGAAGTGGACGGGTAGTAACCTATCTTATACACATAAATAAAATTGAAGTGTCAATAATATCAAAATAACTACACTTTATTCAGCTCAGGGGTAATTTGCATGTCATTATCACATGAATATCTTCAGAATGGCTTAACTGATTGTGTTGACACTTCATAAACAGATAGTGAGCAACGCCAGGAGTGATCAAGGATATATTTTATTTAAAAATTAATAATTTTTTTGAAAAATTTAAATATTAACGACATAAATCATTTATGATGATAATATCTTAAATTTAAATTACGTCACATTATAGATCCCATCACATATCGCTTGGCTATTCTTTAATAAAGCTACACACCTGAGTACCATAGTAATGTTAAAAGTGGTACCTTTGACTATGGTAATGGTTATGGCAACTCTTGACAAAGGTAAAAGATTAAAAAATTTACAATATCTGAATTTTAAATATCTAACTGAAGTGATTTTCATTGTCATTAAAATTGTTAAGAAATCAAAAAAGAAGAAAATTAGGATTTTTTTTCTCATATCAGCCAATAACGGATAACGCAGGAAAAACTTATTATAATTACCTGCTTTCTCTAATGTAACTTACGTTGTGTTATGGTTAGAGCATAAATGAGTCGGCGAGCCAGGGATAGGACCATAACTCTCGCGGGTATCAGCGTAATATAACAGCAGACAACGCATTCGTTTGCATTTTGCAATTTTAAGCACAATACCAATAAATAATGTATTTTAACTGACCTCAGAAAAATCGCGCTGCGACATTTCTTTTCTGCTATGTTCTTCTTAACCGGTCCTGAAAGAGGATATTATAATTAATGTTTATAAAATACAAGTTTAAAGTTATAAAATTGAGTTATATCACGTGTTAAGGATAGTCACAATATCTTCGCTTCTACTAGTACAAAGTTCTATTTTTAAGTAATTTTATCTTATTTAGTAACTTTTATCTTTTTTATTATATTTACTAGGGTGGTCTAAAAAGTTTCCAACCTCAACGTGAAGATGGCAGCACTCGTCAAGCTAGTAAATGTAGTTTTTTTTTTTTTTATAGAATAGGGTGACAAACGAGCACACAGTCCACCTGATGGTAAGTGGTTGCTGCGGCCCACAGACATCTACATCTATCCTCCATTAAAAATCAAAATGCAGATGCGTTGTCACCCGTGAGGACTGAGATGGAATGCCTCGTTTCCAGTAAAAAGGGTCTCCGGTTCTCTACACTCACCATACGAAATACAGCAGCATTAAGCTACTATTTCACGCTGGTATTCTGTGAGAGCGTGGTCCTTCCCCGGTCGAGCCGACCCATTCGTGCTATAACTATACTACTAATATAACTGCAGCATGGCTCTACCACGTACTACACTTTTGAACTACTTGTACATCTTTTGAAAGTACGCACCATAATTTCAGCCATTTTTTTTTCACAAGCGGATTTGTTGTTTCACAGTCGCTCGAGTAAATCGATTTATGTTTTTGTGAAAATGGAAAAAAATTAGTGTCAAACTGTCATAATTTTTTTTAAAAGGCAGTTCATCTACGCAAATCAAAGATGTGTTGGACTCTATAAATGGGGACTCTGTATCATTATTTACCATAGTGAAATTTTGGACAGCTGAATTTAAAAGTAGCCGTGAGAGCTTGGGTGACAATGAACGTTCAGGACATCCAAAAACTGCAACTACTGACGATAACATCGCTAATGTTCGGCAAATGGTGCTAGAATTAAAGTGCAAAAGATAGCAGAGGCTATTAAAATGTCCAAAGAACATGTTTGCCACATATTAAATCAAGATTTAGGCATGAGAAAACTGTCAGCGCGTTGGGTGCCGCGTTTGCTCACGTTAGTCGAAAAACGTGCTCGAATGAACATGCTCTGTTGGCGCCTATTAATTAATATAGATGAAATTTGGATACACTATTATACGCTCGAAATAAAAATACAGTCAAAACAGTAGACTGTAAAGGGAGAATCAGCTCCAAAAAAGCAAATACTGTATTTTCGTCTGGGAATGTGATGACGACTGTTTCTTTGGGATAGTCATGGAGTTATCTTAATCGATTATCCTCAAAAAGGAAAAACCATTACAGGAGCATACTACGCATCATTACTTGACAAACTGAAGACAGAAATTGCGGAAAAACGGCCACATTTGCAAAAAAGGACACTCCTGTTTCGCCATAATAACTTCCCGTTTCACACCTCAGCGGTTGCCATGGCGAAAATCCACCAATTACGGTTAGAACTGCTTAACCATCCGCCTTACTCACCAGATCTAGCCCAAAGCGTTTCTTTTTATTCCCTCATCTAACTCTGTTCTTGCTTCTTGCGCTCGGACGACAGTGATTATGTCAAATGAGGAGGCAATCACCTTCGTGAATAATTATTTTCCAGAGAAAAATGCCGAGTACTATTTGAACGGGTTAGAGAGATTGGAGCATCACTGGGAGAAGTGAGTAGAGTTACAAGGAGACTATGTAGAAAAATAAAAAAAAATATTTAAAGCTGCCCCGCGTATTCTGGGAGGGGGATGGGGCAAAATCTCGCTCAATACTAACACTGCACGGGGCAAACAGAGCGATATAATTGAAATAATACTAGTTTTTACGGTTTTTATCGCGTATATTTAACTATAAATACCCGACGTTTCGAGCGCTTTACAGCACCCATGGTCACGGGGAGGACTGAGATGTTCAACGTCCAGAGCGATATAACCATGGCGACCCCTACTACTTGCAACATCAGCAGACTTCACTCGAACCTTAACGCTATCCACTAGCATCTGGAGACGGCGAAGCCGCCTTGCTCTTTTTCACCGAGACGCAGGTGTCTTCTCCGGCTGATACTTTGTACCTGTCCTACCTGGGGTACAAATTAGAACACTTCTTTGTGCTTCGGGCTAGAGTTTGCGTATACATCAGAGACAATATCTGTTCTTGACTCCCCGGCAGTCTTGAAGTTACGGATCTGTCCATACTTTGGCTGCGCGTAGACAGCGACGATCATCCGCACGTCTATGCTTCTTTCTATAGGTCCCATAGCGGTTATGCCGAAACAGACCGACTAATTGACCACGTACAAATGGCTACAGATTCCTTGCTACAACAGATCCCATCCGCAGAGATCGTGATTCTTGGCGATTTTAACGCCCAGCACGCCGAATGGCTCGGTTTACGTTTAACCGATCATGCGGGGAAATCTGTTTATGACTTTGCCTTGGCATATGGTCTGACACAACTGGTTACTTCGCCTACCGGGATTCCAGATGTGGAAGATCATACACATTCCCTATTGGACCTTTTGCTGACCTCTCCGGACGGATATCAGGTTTCCGTCGACGCCCTCTTAGCTCCTCAGACCATTGTCTAGTCTGTAGTGTGGGGCCACTCACGCTAACATCGCAGTTACATTTTTCAGGCTGCCGCCCTGTTTGGCAGTATAGGTCGGCCGAGTGGGATAGGATGATGTCTTTTTTACATCTTACTCTTCAGGGCGCTAGGCTCGTGCGCTAACTTCACGCGGTTCAGTAATCGACTACTTAAGTCTCTTGTGTCGTTTTGTACTACTATTACAGGTAATATTCAATGTTGTACACATGTTTTATTAATTTATTTAAATTAAGCATAAAATAGTATATAATATTGCAGACTTGCATTTTTCTCTGTACACCATTAGGCTATATAGAAATACTCGTAATCATCTTAATACTACTCGTAAGATGCAGTATATATACCTACATAATTATTATATATAGTACGTATAAACTACTATATTGTCACATTGCAAATTACAGTAAATTAAAGTATTATTTTAGTATGTCGTGGTAAGATCTGATTATCGTAGAAGGGGATCTTGAAATGGGTTAAAATAGTTGCGGTTATAAAGCATAGACACGAAAATACTGCAAAATGTCATAGATTAAAACACGTTCATAACAGTTATTTAGTCTCGTGTATGATCACTAGATAAAAAGAGCCGCTACCGCATAGAAAACACAGGAAATTCTTACGTTTATAATGACCGCTGCTGTCACAGATAAGATTAAAATGTTGAGGATGAACGTGAGTAATTGCGTATGTGTGCGAATGTGTTCGTGTTGGAGTGTACGTTTGTATTACTGACATTTATTTTCCAGTTACGAGGCCTGCAGCACTCAAAACACATAGCTACGTAGCATATCAAACATTCTCATGTATACATATCATGCACATTTATTGAAAACAAATGTTTTAATGACGCTTTCTTGCGTTGACGTTTCTCCTCGTTTATATTTTATATATTTAAATCTTTACGGTCAGGTAATCATTACCTGATATTATACTGTGATGCGCTGAGATTTTTGTGGTCTCCATGATGAAAAATGGCGACATAATCGTTTTGTATCCATGCCAGATATGAAGTACAGTCTGGCAACGTCAACGTCAATACGTCTGATACTGCAACTATCAATTGATTTACTATGCGTGGCAATAGAGTATTTTAACCATTTTCAAAAATTGTTTTAATTGAATCCTAGAGTGGTAATGAACCACTTTAATTTTTAAATATTTTTTTAAAACCGAATAGTGCTATAAAATTACTTTTAATCTATCGTTTTAAATTTTCGCATGAAAACGCTAGCCGCCATGTTGTTCAACTCGTGACGTCACAGACATGATTCTGCCGATTTTGCAAAGGAATAATATACTATGTTTAATAATGAGTTATCATCTATATCATTATTGTATTGTGCCTAAATGCAAAAATACGAGCATAAGAACGCTGGGAAAGTTTTAACCCGATTTAAATATGAGAAATACTATAAACTACTAAAAACTATACTAAAAACTGACAGGAAGAGACCCGAAGGCATTGTCCACAAAATCTAAACTATGCTTCTGTGAAGATAATTTTGATGTAAGTATGATTTATATTTAACTATCGTTTCATACAAGACAAAACATGAGCTGAAAGGTATCGCAAGCCAAATAGGGTATTTTAAACCATGTAAAAAAATCAAAAAATATATATTTATGATAGATTTTGTAAAAAGTAAACGAGAAATATTGATTTCTGTTTATAAAATCGCATTATAAATTTTATATTTCAATTTTAAGAATATTTTTTTCGTGTGTGCCTTATATCGGTAAAACGGTGTCCACCATATTAGTCATGTCATGACGTTACTGATCCAGCCTAAGGATATATACGGCATATCTCATCAACAGTCTAAGGGTCTCCATTTTTCAAACTTAACATACAAAACAACAGTTTTAAACTGTTATTTTGCGTGGTAATCTGTGCACGTTCCCCTGTCAAAACCTGAAATCCCGCTGGACTTTATCTGGTTCTACCTACTACAAAGCTGTTTTCCGAACCAGTGGTAAATTTTCTTATTATATATGTAATATATATTAAGGTAAAATTAGGTTAAGTAAGTTAAAGCAACCATTTTAACTTTGCTTACAGTGGTGAACATGAGTATTAGTAAACGTCTTTCTATTTGCTACTGATAATTTAATAAATAATTCTAGCAGAAAGACAATTTTTATTGTCTTTGTGTCCGTCTCTACATGTACGAATGGATTTAACCCGAAGTTTTATAAGTTGCATCAAATTGCATCAAAAAAAGCTTTTACTTCAATATGATATCTTATTTAAATATGGAACTAATGATGAAGAAAATCGATTAAAAGTAACAATTCTTCACTACCAGTAAGTAAATAGGGTGACTAGTATCATTCTCCGGTCGAGCTAATCTACTATATAGAATCACTATTGC